ACTAACAAGTAGGATATGGTTTTCTCTGATTTTCTATGAATTTCATTCTGACAATTAGCGAACGATATAATTTTATGGGAGAGAAGCAATGAAGAAATCAGGCCTGCGTTCTGTGCTGAAGGAGACGTGCCTGGAATTTTGGCAGTACACAAGCGTCGCAGGGATTTATCAAGCTCGCGCCTGCACGAATCCCATCCGCAAATTCGTGAGTCTCGTGGACGCAGGACAAAGGCAATCCGAGAATCCATCTGTATGCGATTCGACGGTCGTTTCAGTTCTGGATCTTTCTGTTCCTGGTCGGGGGCGGAGCGACGATCTGGGCCGTGGAGGAGATCGTGGTGGAATACCTCTCTTACCCAGTCTCCACCTTCGTGACCCTGACGTATGCGAAAAAGTTGACGTTCCCCGCCGTCTCCATTTGCAATACGAATCCGGTGAAATGCGGGAAGCTCATGCTGTTCCGCGACGACCTCCCGACCCTGTGGAGGGACAGCGGATGTCGGCCGAGAATCGCTGCGGCCAAAATTATATGGATGAATAGGTCTGACTTCGACTACAACGGATTCAAGGATGCCTTTGGCAGGTACTTCGATCACACGGCGCTGTTATTGTCATTTACGTATTTGTTCGAAGAGCAGACTTGATGTATCTTAATTCTACCATGGCGTCAGATATCTGACAGAGACGAAGGACCTCAACGAAGTCATCCTGGCCGTAGCGGACAAGAACTCGGCAACATTCGCAGCATCCCCGCTGCTCGAATACACGTTCAACGACATTTCCCTGCTCCTGTCGGTCATGAAGGCACTCATCTCTGCCAGTCCGGCTGACTTCAAAGCGAGAAGAGGAGATGCGCTTTTCTCTCACCTCATGGAGTACATTTATCCTCCGGACAATAGTGTCTATTTTCCATGGGGGAGGACTCCACCTTCAGGCAAGACTTTGAAAGAAGAAACTTTCAATGAAACCCGCTAGTTCAATGAACCTTGTCAGTGCTGTCTCCTTTGTCTCAGGCAATGCCACGCAGACTCCGGCAGCAGGGTCGACACAGGGAAATTCACAGCCCCCAGCTGGTGGACAAAACACTTCATCCTCGACGAGTGCTGGGTCCTCCCTCGTTGGATCATCTACAGGTAAGGTGGCAGATTTCATCAACCGTCTTTGCTTTTCCTGGCGTCTTCGAGAAGAGAGGGACAAAAAGAAGGGCTGAAAGGAAAACTGGTCTACCAAAAAAAGGTCTGAGTCCAGGAAAATTGGTAATGCAGGCTTACAAAGACGCCTTCATCTTTTATTGAAGCGAGTAGTTTATGAGTTTTATGCATGAGAGAATGCTGGTCTATCTAAATACACAGCTTTTCCTCGCTCTGAAGTGGTCTAGAGAATCTTCACTCCTTCTGCGACTTAGGATTTTTTTATTTTATTTTTTTTAGATGGATCGGTTTTCCTTTCAGTCCTTCAATATGTTTAGCAAACTCACTGAGGCGATACTCGGATTTCGACAGGTGGAGCGAGCACTCAACCTTCATCGCCACAAACACAAACTGCTGCCCTAACGACTCAGGTTCGGTCCTTCCTCTTCACTTTCGCTCCCGCTTCTGATTACTCACGTTGGTCTGGGATAAGAAGAATTTCAGTCAGAAATACTAATGCCATTTTTTGGAAGTAAAAGAAACCCACCGAGAAATCACTTATTTCTAAAATGAATTTTCCCCAATAGATTTTCGTCCACTTCCCATTCCGAGATTATGGATAGCTGCACGGCTCACTATCAAATGTATACATCAGCTCGTGCCTTAATATGCGGTAGCGTCGATCGGGGAATTCCTCTTTTTGCATTATACATATTTTTGCTGCAATCATGACCCGCTTCGTCGGATAAGAGGGTCCGGACCCCCTTAAGCTCCAGCCGCGTCCCCGCATCGCAGTCGCTGATCCATTCTCACGCGAACAGAAACCTGCATCTCCGCCCCCGAACCTGCCTCCACCCCCCGGTGCACCCAAGACGCTTCCGTCTGACGTCGGTCAAATGCAACTCGATGAGGGTGGACGCTTCCTGCCCGATGACGCCACATCAGATTTCAAAGCCGTAAGAATATTTAATTTAGAAACCTTGGAATCGGAGAAAAAACTTAATGAGGAATGAGAGTTCGACCGTAGGGGATGGAGTTCGTGACAGCCATAAGAAACCTCCCAACTGCCATGATTTACAGGCTCACCAATTCCTGGGATGATCTCATCTGGGACTGCTCGTATCAAGGACAAGACTGCACCGATGAGAAGTGAGTTGGCGAATGCATTTTGTCTCGTTGGAAAAGTGACTTTTTATTACTATTATAGATTGTTTATCGACGTGACCATAGGAAGTGAATCGATGAGAAATGGCAGTTTGATATTTGCAGGTATTTCGCTCTGACTTTGAGTTCCGACTACGGAATCTGTTTCATGTTCAACAGCAAGTTCAACGCCCACGACTCCATTGCTGGGACGCGGAAATCGAGTCTCACGGGGAGTGAATACGGTGAGTGACTACAGTGAGAGACTAAGGTGAGAGTGAGCCGTGTATCCATTGCTTATCGCCATGACTCAACACAGGCTCGTCAAATATAAATACTCCTGGGACAACACGCTGCATATTGTTGCAACGCTAATCATAGCGTTAGCGAGTAATGATCGACTAATCAATTAATCAATATTAATGATGATGACGAAGGTGATAGCGTGAGGAAACAGTAATGGGCTGGAGAAAGCAATAAGAGGAAACAAAAGCTTATTGAACGTGCCATTTCCTCGAGTTCGCCCATCACCGTACACATCACGAAGGAAGGGTCATTTTTCAAATTTGGTTGGATCCTTTAAGACAGGGGTGTCAAATCGGTCGGCGGGCCGCATTCCTTATCTTGCAGATGCCTGCGGACCGCACCCATACTTTTTCACCGAAATTTGTGCTATCAGTCAATCCAAGCGGAAATTTCAAGAACAGACGGCGGGCCGTATGTTTGACACCCCTGCTTTAAGATTATCTATGCCTTGCGATTAGGGAGAATCACGTCGTTAGAACGGATTATTTTTCCTTTTCTTTCGGTTACAGCTGAACGCACAAATAGCCTTCGAATGACATGCCTAAATATTCGCTCAAAACAAGCCTTTTTTCAGAGGTGTTAAGTATCGTATCAAATCGAGTCTAACTAACTCACCGCGTCTAACACTGAGACTAACTAAGAATAAGAAACTCAGAATCATTGGAATCAAGCTCCAAATGCAAGAAAACCATACCTCCAAGCATAATAGTCAGGGAAGGCATACGTACTTGAGATGCATAAAATAATGAATTTACTCACCATCACAGCGGAGAGGATCCGCATACACAGGGGGTTCCGAAACAGACTGCATCACTGAAAATCGATCTTCAGTCGGCCTCACTTCCCCCCCCCCACCCCCCCCCCACAGTGGTAGGAAAAGCAGCAAGATGTCCTCTTGCTTTTAGCATTTCACCTTTGCTCTCGGTAAACAGGGAACGACACCATGAATGGTCAACGAAATGAAATTCATAAACTGATCTGGAACGAGTGGAAGTTCGGTGTGTAGTTGAAGAAGTTCAAGACAGGAAAGCATGCTAAAATTCTTTTCGGGCCGATACTCATGAAGGTATTCGGACGAACAACACCTATCATTAGGGATAGGGAGTACATTAGGGATATTGAGGTTTGAGGGTGAAATAATGCCATTGATATTTTATCGTTCTCGGGGTTTGAACAGTAAGGAATGACTGAAAGAAAAGTAATTACGGAATATGAATAGCTCCTCTGGTAGTCTACGTTTGAAAGGCTCATTACTAAAGTACCACAATGTAAATATAGAGTGAATCAATCCTTCGTCGACTGATGCCTTCAATGATCTCTGGATCGACGCGAATTTTCCAGGGCTCTCGCTGACAATGTACCTGGACCAAGACGATTACATGTCCAACCCGCTATCCCAGAGCGCCGGGGTGCGACTGACGGTGCATTCCGTCGAGGAGCTCCCAAGCCCAAACGAAGAGGGATTCTACCTCCAACCTACATCCCATGCATCCATTGCCCTCAAGATGGTATGGCTATTGACTTCGTTTGGTTTCGGTCATGTGATGATGCATCGGCCTCTCAAGAATGCTGTTTGCGAGAGCAGGTGAACATCAGTCGGTTGCCAGAACCGTATCAGCCCAGTTGCTTCTCTTCTTGGGGTCAGACTTACTACAGTCCCTTTTATCCATTCAACGATACGATCCCGGTCGGATACAGTGTTGCCGTGAGTTTCTACTATCTCTATCCATACTCTTCGTTGAGTGTGATAATCAACTTTTCACTAACAATGACTCAGTCAATCTCGGCATAAACCTTTTTTTTTGTACATCTCTAGAGCTGTGGCCCTCTTGTAAAGAAAATATGTGAAGCGTTCTTAAGACGTTAAAACGGTAATATGCAGAGAAATATACAATATTTTTTCCTGAAGAGCTACAGGAGGAGGGGAAAATTATCCCCACATTCCACAAAGCTGTCACTGCATGCAAAATGTGTAAAGTGTTTTCATTTTAACATGGTGAATTAAACCCTATCAAAACGAGTTGAAACGAAATCGAAAAGTCATCTCCACCCCCTCCCCCCTCCCGCAATTCTGTTGTCCATCACAGTAATTTTCTCGACGTGAGGTAGCCAGAAGACAGTCTCCAGAGGTTGAATGACGAAAATTTTCCGCCAAAAAATTTTTGCGCCGTTCCAGCAATGCAATCGGTTGTGCGAGATCATGGCGTCAGACTATTACTGCAAGTGCCGGAACCCTATCTACATGGACTACTTTCAGAGATTCGATTTTGAATATTATGTCCTCCCTTTCTGCGACATAACTACTGAAAGTAAGTCGATTATCGTTTGCGGGAATGTAATTCAACAAACTGGGAGTAAAACATCACTGTTTCGAAATAGGTGCAGATATAAACTGCTTGGAGATCGTGAAGTATCTGATGCAGGAAGGGAACATCACCTGTCCTTGCAATGCCCCTTGCGAGTTAGTAATTTTGCGTTTTACGGTGATACCTTGTGTTGCCATAGCAAGAGGAAAATGAAAGGAATTTTCATGATATTCCATAGCGAGACGTCATATGAAATCGCCCTCTCGAGCTCAACTTGGCCTGCTACCAACTACCTCGTGAGTTTCACGAAACATTTATTTCGTGTCACATTTTCTTCCTGTCTCGTACAAGTCAGATCCGTAAGACACCCGAACTTCGCGCAACAGTCGAGTTTGGTGGCGAAATTAGGAACGTCCTTGGGTCTCGACACTTCGAAGCCGAACTTCGCGATCTCGGAAGACGACATCCAGAGGTACCTCGACACGGTCCAGAAAAATCTCCTCAAGGCGGACGTCTATTTCCAGACCCTCAACCTCAATGTCATCGAGCAACAGCCCAAACGCGATGTACGCTGTGTTATTTCTAGGATTATCCGTTGCGTTAACCCTCATCGGGCCGTGTGAGAAATATCCTCCATGAAATCACTTGCATTGTTCAAATTAAAAATATTAGTGAACGTCAATTACTTGCTTTCTTGCGGCAGATGAACTGGATTTTCATGATATATTACAGAATTTCATAATAGATAAGAAATTCGGCATAAAAACTCTTGCACGTGGTCCGAAAGTGACTCTCCCTCAGCGGCCTGTTGAAGGTTAAAACCGTTTTTGTCATTCCAAAGAAACAGAGTTTGTGATTTCTGCTTTTTCTCAACCATGCACCAGATAAAAAATCTCATTTCGGACTTGGGAGGGATATTGGGGATCTACCTGGGCCTTTGCCTCATCGTCCTCATCGAGATCTTCGAATTCCTCTTTCTCCTCGCCTACAACACTGCCTTGTATTTCTGCTGCTCGTTGGGTGCAATCAGGCGAGTCGCAGTCGAGAATCCGCAAGCAAGACGCGATTTCCTGTCCAAGCGATCCAGATCACTTTCCCCTCGCCAAAACCATCCCCGGCTCTACAATCAATATCCTCCTCCAATCAAGCAGCTGGCAGGCTTGCCTCCGGAATACACGAATCCTCCAGGGAAATATCCATACATGAACCCCTTCACTTTTTGAACACTCGTCTGCTCTCACGAGGATCGAGTCCCCAAACAAGATTCAGGCGAACGCTACGGACCGTGGACATGTTTGAAGAGGACGAATCGCAAGGCGAAGATGAATTCGTTTTTTCTCTCTGATAAAATCAAATTTCTTTTTCTTTTCCCCACGGTTGTGTGAATGTAAAGCAACGCAATTAGATCGGCATAACTATTTGCATTCAGTTCCATAGCCATTTAGGAGCTTCTCAGGCCAGAGAATCAATTTAGGAAACGGCAGATCTATTCAAATACTGCGATAACACGTCATATTCTGATCCCATCGGGTTATGACAACACGTACCAGCGCGTCTTTTTATACGTTTCGATAAGAAACTTAGCTAGTCCGATTTAACAAATGCACACAGCACACCTTTCGCTTATCCAATTTTCTGCCTTAATATAACTACCTAGGAGCATTTCCAGGATCTAGGATCCAAAATAATCCACAAGGAACAAGATGAGGCGAAATGCGCTTCTTCAAGTAGGGAGAAATCATGTCTAAGCATCCTCCAGGAATGCAATAAGTGTCAAATAGTACCATTCTATGAATATTACGATCAGAGTAGAAACCGGAAAGAAGCCCATGAATCGAACATGCATTTTACCAAGGCAGACTATAACTCCTACTAAAATGACATGCGATATACATGATCGCGCGTCAGGTCATCCTTAGTACCAGATTCGAGAACACTTCAAGTTAAATTCGAGCTCTTGTTTTTTAAAATTATTATTTCACTTTACTGCGTAGCCGGTGCCTAACTCTGGTCGCACAGAAAAACTAAACGTGGTTCAACTATGGAAGCATACCTTCGCAGGTCAACTGCAATGCACGTACTGGATCTGACTATTTTTGTAATACTCGACGCAGGAGAAGGTATACATTTAGGCATGCGGTGGCGAAAGGAATCAAGACCTTCGCTGTTCTCTTTATACCAATGGGAGCCCCAAGGACACAGGTTGAGAACAGCTCCTTTATGCTGTATTTCTCAGCATGCGACCCAGAGTGCCGGGTGACTCAGAAAAAACGTTCAGAACTCCACAGGGCAAGAAACGGAACAACATATGCTACATTGACAGGAAATTTAAAAGGTCTCATACAGGAGCAAGGGCTTTCAGCAAATTTTAAATGAAATTGGTGGCTAAGAATCCAAATAAAAGCTTTTTCCCACGCAATTTCAAAGGACCGTGTGGGACAGCATGCAAATACCTGGCTGCTTATTCCGGATACAATCGGAATCATCGCTTCCCAAGTCCAGCTGAGCAGGAAGTGCGCAGACGTTCTCATTTGACAGCGCGCAGAAATGAAGCTGTTCCTCAGGCTCTGCGAACATAATTCAGTGAAACATCTTACACGTTTGAGTGACAGTCTGTAAACCACCTGCCGATACCTCACTTGTCCCGTCTGCCAAGTTTGGAATTTTTTTGGAGGCAATGAGATTTTCGGTCGTTTTCACCAACTGCAAAAGTCCTGCCTGCATGCAAGAATACAACTTCGTATAACATGTAATGGAGAAAGTTAGGTTCTTTAGTGAGAACGGCGTTCCCAAAAGCTCTTCAAGGGGGAGTTGTGGCATTGCTCCCAAACTTATTACACGAAATTGAACAATAATTATTGCTGTAACGGGGCTCCTGCAATAAATGACCATCTACTCTACGTTTTTGGTCGCGATCGTTAAAAAAGAAAAGTCCAAGAGGAAGGTCCGACTGGAGACATAGCGACAAGGAAGCCATCAACCCATCCCACCTTCGTTTGTACCGTTTCCAAACTTGTGCGGATCAACTTTCATCGTATGCAATACTTCCAGAAACATTAAAACCAACGGACCAGAATACCATCCTTTGATCTGATCTCAATATAAAGATGTTAAATGACGAAGAGTTTGAGGAGTATACTGAGAGTTAATGGTCAGATAACTTGTTATCTAAAGTCAGCTCAGTAGAGCTCCATTTCTGCCGATGGATAATGTTAGATTGCTCATGACTGTTCAGGTGAAAGATATTTCTCGGCAAGGATGATATGATGAATAGAAAACAGTAAAAAAAAAAATTGTACCATGACAATCCTGTCTCTGGCTGATACCGACGATTGTTGGTAAGTAAGCAGGACACCGTTATGGAATCAGATATCGCAACAGATCAGTATTCTCCTGATGGGAAGTAGTGTTTTCCCTTGATTTTTCAAGTGTCCAATGTCAGGTTTATCCAGATCCCTACCGACAGTGTGAGAAATACAAAGAGTACAACTGGGAGTAATAGGCGAATATTTAAAATTGTATTCTACCCTCCATCACACCTGGAAACGTGCAATTCACTTCAAGTCCAGAAACACATCAACTCGTAACAATTTTATGATGAACATGGCAAGATGGGGTGACGATAATCAAGAATTCACGAAGTTCAGAGGAATAATGTAGCCCTGTACTTCCATGGCTTTCAACGTCCAGAGGTATTGACACTTAACCATTGCTGGCTAAGTTCACGGAGATGACATTATTAAATGGCAAGAAAGACAAATCCCATGCTTAAAATACTGACAGATTAGTAAGGGATAACACTCTCAAAAGGAAGAAAATTTCTTTACGTAATAATCATCAGCAGAGTATGGGTCGGGATTATCATCGGATGAGGAAGATGATAACATCATATCATGTTTGAATGGCAATTGCATGAGACTTCTCAATTCTCTATGTATTCTACACAATGAGTAGTGCATCTTGAAAAGGTGAGGTCAGAGTAAGAATAGATTCTTGGGGAGGAACAGATGGCTTTGAATACCTCCAGCATAGCAACCATTGAAACTAGGCATGCACAACGGTCCATTTGCAAAATCAATTAAGTACCCTAGATTTTTTGGTAGTCCATACTAACTCTCTCCTAGTATGCAGCCAAGTCTTTCTCTCCGTGAATTAAATAAATGTGCAGTCAAGTCTTTAACCGGAGTAGTTATTACCTTAAAACTACCACAGTACATACTTTTTGCATACAATCCAAATCCAGCATTGCATACAAAAAAGAAATGCTTCAATAAGGAAAAAATGCAGAGAAAATACTTCTCAATGTCAGTACTTGGAGTTCAGTATTTGAGACTGTAAAAGGGACATTGCAAAGGGGAGAACAGTTAAGTGGTACATTACTTGTTGAAGTCAAATGAATAGTTTTTACTCTAAGGTAACCTCAGGAATTTTTATTAGTAAATGCAAATGTTAAGTTTTTGGTAAAGGATTTGTTCAGTTTAAACACCCCTAATAGGAGCATCATTGGGCTGAGATAACTCTGAATATACCTAAGATGATTAAGTAAATGCCTCATAGTTCATATCACATTAATATTCTGAAATATTTTTCAGTTCTATCAACACTAGAAGATTCTTTCTTTGGATTGCCAACAGATACTCTCTCACCTGGAGAGTACTCTATAAATGTCTCATTAGTGTAAAACCACCTAAAAGATTGTGGATGAAATAGAGGAATCATTACAGAAGAACATTGAAATACAGAAGTTGCAAGTCTCCTTTGAGGGTTCCATTCATCTTTCATGATACAGGTTATGTGCTTTGGGATATAGGATGCAAAAGAGTTTAAATATGCAATTGAATGCCAGGAGACAGTGTATATGAGAATGGTTGGTGGTCAGGGTAATCCAGGGTCATCCACTTCACCATGTTCCTTTCATAGTATATACTAATTTCAAATTCATTCATTATGACATTTCTCAAAAATAAAATAATGTCAAATATCTATGTTACTGTAAAAGAGTATTCCCATGAATATACAACAAAGCTTACACTGACAAATATGTAGATAGACACAGATACACACATAAACCCAAGCAATTACATGAGCAGTCTCCTTTTTCCCCAATCCATTCCAGCACAGCTATTCCACATGGAAATCCTATAGTTTTTTAATTGATTAACCCATAAAATTCAACTGAAGTCATAAGGTCTAGATGTGAGTGTCCAAGGTTGGCAACAATGCAAGTCACTCAAATTGCTCAAGCCATCTGAAGAGTGAAAATTTTCAATTAAGCTCTCCAAACATAATCAAATTGGACTGGAAGGTGTTAAAGAAAGGAAGTTAGCTAAAAAAAAAAAAGGGAGTAAAAAATGCTTCAAGGAAGAAAAATGGTTTTAAAAAGGTTTTAAAATACTTTAAAAATCACAAAGGACAAACATGAAGAAGAGACAGAGAAAAAGACAAAGATATGAAAGTACAAGATTTGGAGGCCCTTTATCAGGAAGTGACAAGGACAGACAGGAAAAGGGTCAGGTAACTGCCATAATATATAAAACTTTGTGCTCTGGAACTTCCTGGATTTCAAGCATGATTATTTTTAGTTCTAATCCTGTACTTGACACTAATGAAAGGAGTCCAGCAAGTATTTGTTGGAACCTGTCCAGCATATTTTTAGCTCAACACAGCTCTCAGTTTTTGAGTAATAGTGTAAGATTTACTTTTACATCAAGAACAACACCAATTTCTTGGTCACATAGGATCAAAATGGTAAACATTACCTTAAACTTTTGGCAATCTGAATAGTTACTTGGATGATCTGCTTTGTCATAACTTGGTTACATCATTCTTGCTACTTCTAAGTTATTATTACCCTTACTATGAAGCTGCTATGATATTATACTGCCAACTTTTCAATAGCTTCACTGGTAAATCAGTACTTGAGACCCAAACTGGAGCATAGTTGCCCAGGAATGAGGCCCTTGATGCACCATTCATCATAATCCAATTAATAGTTTATGCTCTGTATCTGCATGCATCTTTTGGATTATAAGTACTTGTCAGGAAAAGATCAGTATTTGAAGTCTCAAAAATGTACCTGCACTTGAACATAAGCACATTAACACCATCATTGAAAATGATTCTGCAGTTTTCACTCAACTCAATATGGATCAAGACACAGCCATCATTATCTCACTTGCTCTAATCTGGCTTGTAGACTCAAGTGCCACAAGAAGATCAAGATCTTAAAATTACATTCCAGATCTTAAGAACAGATCCATAATGAATTAGACCTGAAGGACACAGAGATCTTGGCAAAATGAGGGAGTGCCTGAATTTTT